ATATAAGTAGCATATTCAATATTCATAAAAATATATTTTATAAGGACAACAAAGAAAAGCGGGAAGAGGAAGAAGAGGACTAAAACGCGATCCTGTTATAGACAAAAAAAAAGCCCTTAGATTCACGGTGAACTAATAAAAGAAAGGAAGGAGCACAGCCGACATGCTCTTTTGCGTAAGAGGAGCAGAAGCTGCGGGAACTACCAAAATTCCCCCTCCCCACAGAGGAAGAAAAATTGCGCAAAATGGAGTTAAAGAATGCCACATTTAGAAGCAGAGCAATCACAGGAGGCAGAAAAAGCGCAAAATTCTACCAAAATGATATAAGATTTTGTCAGTTTAGCGCAAAAAGCGTAAGACCAATTAGTAAGTGTAGAATAATGCTGGAAAGCAAAAAAGTACTTTAGAAAACACCAACCTGCAAAAAAAGGCGCACCCGAGAATTATGGCGTAAAAAAAGATGATCATACTAGAGGCAGACGCAAAAACCAGGGCGTGTCCCCTTCCTTTTTTAAGAAACCATGTACATCGGCGCTTGATCATTCAAGGATAAATCATCATCAGCCCAGCTTTTCAAGGAAATTAGAATGGGAAAGGCGCTGCAAGGAGGGGAAAAACGCGATTTACTTAGAAACGGCAGCGAGCAAATGCTCCACTTCGGCTATGCTGCTACCGGGGATGTGTGAACTTAAAAAGTGGATCTATGCCGTGGTAGGGAAAGATGCCACTGTGAGGAATGGCATGTAGAGAGATTCACTAACATAGAGTAATTTATCAAAGCTATCCAGCTCGTTATCGAGGCAATCGGCTTCCTCCAGAGCTCCGTCAATCAGCGCAATCAGATCATTCACCGCTGCTTCACTGTCCATTATCGACTGTATATTGGCGCCATCCAGAAGTTGAAGTTGTGCTGCAAGCACTGCTGCAAACTTGTCCGCCTCACCAATTGTCAGATTCGCGCGAGCAAGCAGCCTTCGAAAATCCGCTTCTTCTTTCGCCGATATCGGCTGCAAGGAAGAAAAACAGGATGAATTTGCTTCAGGAAAAGCCTTTTTATTTATCACAGAGGCAAAAAAATTCGAAGAAAATTTGATAAAATCAGCGAAATTTGCTTAAATTTTTGTCTTTTTTTGCCTTCCTACACGAACATTTTAACTGAAAAGATGGAGAAAACAGTGAACAATCGCTCGGCAAAGATCTGCGCCCGTCTGCTGATGGGGAAGAAATGAAAGTGAATGCTACAAACCTGATAATCGGCCAATCCCTCATCCGTATCATCGTCAACATGTTCCGCAATAACAGCCATATGCGGTGTTTCCACAGGTATTGGTACGTTAACAAAATCTGGCTTTTGAACCGGAAGATATTTATTGGCAAACTAAAAAACAACAATAATAACAACAATATGCCCTACATGAAAAGCCTATCAAGAAAAGAGCGGTGAAACCTTGTAAAGTTGCTTGATAAATGCATCTTTTTCTTCAGCCGTCGAAGCGCAAAGTCGGAACAAGCGATCGCCGATGACCAATTCAAACTCGGGCATCAGCTGCAAAAAACAAATCACGTGGTTCACGATTTTGACAATAACTACGGCAACACGTGTTTGCTTTCGGACGTCCTGCGGGGAAAAGTCGCAGAATATGCCAGTGGGGCGAAGCAGCAGTAGCAGCAGCAGTAGCAGGGGCAGCAGGGGCAGCAGCAGCAGCAGTAGCAGCAGTAGCAGTAGCAGCAGCAGCAGATGAATAAAATATGAGAGAGAGAGAGGAACTGACCTTACGTGGGTTGATGCCATCGACGGTTTTCAGATCGCGAAGCGTAAACTGCCGCTTCTTTTTGTAATAATCATCCTTCTCATTTTTCACAAAATATAAGCGCACAGCTATCGGCTGATCCGTTGTCACTGAAAATCCACCGTTTTTTTTTTTTGGGATAATTAAAAAAGAATTTTTTTTTGCCCTATACAAATAACAATATTACCGAAACGTCTTAACTCTCTCGTACCTATCTTTCCTGTACCAGCAATATGTCTACCTGTTGCATTACATAGTTCGTTCTATTCTTGCCTTCTTTTCTACGTTCTTCATAATACTTTCATGCTACAGTCATGCGATAATCAGATTAGCTAAAGAGCACTGAGTCCCTGTAGCGCCATGAGCACTTCCTTATGAAGCTACAGCAATCACAAGCGTTTAGCATGCTATATCTTGAAAGCTCAGTTTGTTTTCACATGGTGCACATCTTTGGAGCCCAGCAGTTACTATTTCACACATTTTAGGTCAGTGTTGAGCTAAGACGTGTATGACTTAATAGACCGAAACGTCTTAACTCTTTCGTACCTACTTCTACACTAGCAACATTTCTACATCCTTCACTACATAGTTCGTTCTATTCTTGCCCTATTTAAGTTCTTAATATTACCCGTATGCTACAACCATGCAGGAATCAGTTTAACGTAATTGTCGGTGCTCGTCTCCCTCATTTCCCGCTTCACTGGCACGGAAAAAAGAGCGCATCGCACCTCCACAACATCTACAGTGCACTGTGGAATGGAATGGAGTAGGCAGGTTCGACTTAAATATTCAATGTCGAATCTGAACC